CGAAGAAATGATGAATGCTATGTTGACAAGTTCTGGTTTAACTCAGAATTTGTAGGGGGGAAGTTTTGTTTTCCGCAAATTATGTTATCAATAAAATACTTCAAAAGAAACTAATGTGACATCATATGAATTATATAAAGATCCAAAAATCTTCCTATAAATTCTTAAAAGTGTAGGGGTGTTTAACTAAGGTTGCAATTCCTACTCCTAAAAAAAAATAATAATAATAAATAAAATAAAATAAAAATTAAAGTGGGACCTATAATATAGCGACCTTGTAAGTGGGTGTGTTGTGGACGAGTGCAAGAGGCACTGACATGTTATCACACTGAGCAAGCTACAGATGCACAATCCCACACCACCAACATAAGGGAAATGTGAAGTGTTTTTATGTGGTGGAGTTATCTCCAATTGGTATGAGTCCTTTTGAGATAAAATCCAAAAACAAAACCATGCGGGCTCGGCCCCAAAACAGACAATATCATACCATGTGGTAGAGTAGATCGTTACATCAAACATTTGATAGGTTATGCTCATAACATTAGTACATATCATTTTTTTTTTTTTTTTTTTTTTGTGGGCTTAAACGTCTAAATCTTTTTGTCCAAATTTTCTAGCATGTTTATTAGAGAATGAGTCACAAAGTTTTAAGGAAGTAAAGTCTTCTTCTGAATATTATTATTAAATTATTTTTTATATTAATTATGATATAATTAATCAGTTGATATAATATTAAACTATATTCACTACAAGAAAAATGACTTTTTACCATGGTGGAAAAGCCTTTCTACCACGATTTTGAACCGTGGTAGAAACAGCCGTGGTAGAAAGTATTGACTTTCTACCACGGTTTTACACCGTGGTAGAAAGTTGGCCTTCTACCACGGTTTTGCACCGTGGTAGAAAGTTGGCCTTCTACCACGGTTTTTACACCGTGGTAGAAAGTATTTTTTCTACCACGGTTCTTCACTGTGGTAAAAAGTCTATTCGCAGAAGAAAAATAGATTTTTTACCACGGTGCATAACCGTGGTAGAAAGTATTATATAATTTTTTTTTTAAATAATACTTTAGCCCTTGTGAAGGCTCTTTTATTATTATTATTTTTTTAACTACTACTAACGTTACAGAACCCTAAATAAATAAAAAATAACATTATAACCAAAATAATTTACAATTCATATATATATATAACCAATTCCAAATCATTGTTTTATACAAAAATTAACCATATACAAATATAAAAATTAACCATGTACATGATCCACACCTTACATATTTACTTAACCAAAATAAAACAAAAATTCTTCATATCTTCTTGCAACTTCTTCTTCTTCATCAACCATCCAAAAAATATAGCGGCAACAAAAAAGGTAACTGCAACCCGCAATCCTAGCTTTGATCTACAAAGATAGTTGAAGTAAGAGAATTAATGTAAAGCATTATAAAGGTACTTTGAAAGACTCTTCGTCTTAACTCAAGCAAAGCAAGTATTAATATGGTCTTAACTCAAACAAAGCAAGTTCAGTGTATCATGGAAATAATCCCAAAGCAAGTATTAACATGTACAAGTACTTTTGAATCAAGTCCTATGGTCTTAACTCAAACAAAGCAAGTTCAGTGTATCATGGAAATAATCCCAAAGCAAGTATTAACATGTACAAGTACTTTTGAATCAAGTCCAAATTATGAAAGTTTAGTATGAAATTGGACTCGTACATTATTTGATAAAGCATTCAAAATCACAAGAGAAGATGATAGAATGAATTCCCAAAAGGAAATTGGGAAAGCAACTGATCAAATACAATGAAAATGACACCTCAGGAAGGGAATTGCCGAAAAGCATCTAAAACCCTCTTGGTATAATACAGTAGTCTGAAGTTCAAAAGAAAACACTTCAGTTTACTAAAACGTGTTAGATGCAAAAAATCCATCCACGTAGTTGATGCAGCAAGGACTGGTAGGCTTATCCCATCAATTTTCTAGTAGTTTCAACCTAGCCTTTAATTAACAATTACAAACTAATTGTAATAATCACTTTGTTTATTTGCTTAAAAGAGACAATATCATGATCATAATGGTGATCATTTACCAGCTTGTTGCAATAAACAAATTGAATATGTCGCCTATGTATTTACTTTAGGGCATGTAATAATTTTCATGCTCTAATCATGTCACTAGCCCTTCTTTTACAGAAAAAAGTAGGATACTAAACAGTTTCTTGACATGAGAGGAAACACAACAGAGATCAACGAGAAAGCAAAGCCAGTAAGTGCAGTATCAAAGTTGACTACATTATACATGTAAAAAAAAAGCATTCAATTTCAAATGAATATCATTTTAGCACTTAATCAATTGACATAAGGTCTCATTTACATGAGAAATATTATAAAATGAGATTAAAAAATAATAATAATATATATATATATAAACTGTTTTGAGGCATAAATTTGAAAGTAAGGCATGAAGGATATATATATATATATATATATATACACACACACACACACTCTTAGACATTGAGGTGTAGGGTTGAAAAAAACTTTTTGACTCATATGCAATCAACTTTAAATCATGCATTTTGGGACTTAATCAATTGATGGACATAAGGTCTCCTTTAGATGATAAATTAAAAATTAGTTGGAAATTGTGTTGATGTATAAATTTGAAAGTGAAAAAGAATTATGAATAAGTAGGTAAGCTTTATTGTCACTATCAAAATTAAGACAGTGAAAAAGTCAATTCGGACAGGCTTTGAAACAACAAAATCTAAATGGTGAGACACAAAATAGTGGGATTCTAGGCTTTATTAAATATTCAAACCCACTAAATATTCAAACCCACTAAACTACTAAAGTGTTGATTTTGATAGACACTAATTAAAAAAAATGGTCACTTAAGGCACGTGACCCCCTATACACCGCAAAATTGGTCACTTAAAGGCACGTGACCCCCTATACACCGCAAAATTGGTCACTTAAAGGTACGTGACCCCCTTGAGCATGATTATAAAAAGCATCAAAAATGTGTAATCATAAAAGAAATGCATCACTTACAAATTTTGATGTACTTGATAGGCCATGCAATTGAAAATCCTGTAACAAATGCGTCTTTCAAGTCAAAGCCACGAATTTCAGGCCTATATAAAGGCACACTTGAATCTATGAGATCAGTGATCCACACTCTCCAGCAGTCAGAACCAAGTGGAGCAACACCTATGAGAGAATCTGGATCCACTGAATCAATCATACCCTTTGCGACAACTGATTTTGTCCCATGAAAATGCAATAGCTCACAAGACTTGCCGACCAAATCTTCAGAAGGTGGCACAAAACTTTTAATTGCCAATTTGGTTATTAATAGAAAATTAATAAGAAACATAAAGAAAATTTGTAGAGTGAGAAAAAGTTTGGAATCTTTTTGGGAAGTAAAATTCAGGATTTTGCACAAGGAAGCAAAAGGCTAGCGAGGCTGAAAAAAAAAGAATTAAAAAAGACATAGAATTCTATATACTCACAGCATGCTGCTCTGATAAACGTTGTTCGGCAAATCTTTCCCACTCCTCCATCGTGGGCACGTTTCCGGGCTTCATGAGTTGTATTTTTCGTGGATTATTTCCCACCTTTAGCAACCTATTTGTATAATCTGACTTGTGTTTGCGCCAAGCAGCTCCCATCATTTGAAATGCGGCACTGGAATGGCTATCATCAATATCAAATTGAGTCTGCAATGAAATGACAATATCAAAAAACAATCAGCCCTTCTCAGCATTGTCACTAGTGTGCCCATAGGTTGATTAATCTTTATCTCACCACATAATTGAACACTCAAACCAGACTCTAATAATACATAAATTTGAAGGAAGCATCAAGCAAGAATATTTTAAACTAAATTATGAATATGAAAAAGATTAGTGAACAAAAAAAAAAATGAAATATACCTGTACATTCTCCTTCCATATCTCTTGAAGTAGATTTTTTGGCACTTTCTTCCATGTTTCAATAGTTACGGGCACCATCTCTCGTGCTAGTACTGGAAGGGAAGATTTGTATTTAGTACCAATTTCCCCAGTTGGTTGTCTCCTGTAATTAAACTCCACACGAGCCCTCTTCGGTAATGACTTTGTAAGACCCGCAATAGTTGACTTCCCCCTGCCTTTTCTTTTATCACTTGTTGCTTGGTCGTTGTGGTAAGGGACTTGATCGTCAGAAGTAGGTCTATGAGCAGAGTTTGAACCCCCATCAGAAATGACTAAGGCTGAGGGTGTATGCTCTAATGAAGCTTGAATTGATTGATACTCCCTTTGTTGTCTTTTCCCAGCCCCTCTGGATGACTTCATTTCAAGTACATGCAAATCAATTAAAAAAAATATAAAACCAAAACACACCCTAAGTATATTGTTAAATGAAAAAAACTCAAAAATCTATTGATGCTTACCTCAGCACATCCAGACATATTGAAAGAACCTGTTTACAAGCTTAAAAATCTGCAATACCTGGAATGACCAAAATCAGCAAATCACATTTTTTATTATCTTAAAGCAGTTGCAAATAATATAAACTTCATTCTACAAGACATAGAATAAATTGTGTACCAATTTAATATCAATAATAACTGCAAAATGTTTAATCTCATGAAATAATAAGAAAACATTAGTGATAGAAAGAAAGAACCCTAGACAAAAGAAAAATAAAAGCCACTAGTTCAACTCCAGCAAGTAAAATCATATTTCATTAATAGATTGATAAACCATATTACAAACAAAATAAGGGACATAAAAACCAAAAAGTAAAACCAAATTCTATACTATTATTTCCTCACAATCATCCGGTACATATGGACAATCGTCGTCACAAACAACTGACTCAAGCCCTGATATATCTAGAGGAGGATAAGGCACATCAACATTGCCTTCAAAATCCTCCATGTCATAAGATCCCCTAGGTGGTGCTTTAAGTACAACATACCAACTTGAAGTTTCGGTATCCCTAGAATAAAACACTTACTTAGCCTGTGATGCAAGGATAAACGGATCTCTTGCAAATTGACTTTGACCTTCTTGAAGGTTCACCAATGTAAGCCCTTCCTCAACTTTGATGCCATTTCTAATATTTGCCCAATCACAGTGAAATAACAGCACTTTAAAAGTGCGATAGTCCAACAAAATTATTTCTTTCAGAACACCATAGTAAGATATTTTTTGAACGACTTGATTTGTGTCTCTTGCACTAGATCGACAAATAGTTTCAGCTTCAATTGTAACCCCACTATTTTGTGTGCTTCTCTCGACATCCTTGGTGTGAAAACGTTGCCCATTCACAATGTAGCCAGTATAAGAAATTACTTCCTCCCTAGGCCCACGTGCAAGCCACCTTAACATACTTGAAACATTGCACATTGTAGGAATCACAGCTTTTAACCAAGAACTGAAGGTCTCCATATGCCTGTTTTGTAGTAGGTGTTCATACCTTGCTAGACGACCGTCAGAATTCTTGAGTTCCGCCAAATGCTTTCTAACATTTCAACAATATGGTTATGAATGTTTCTAATTAATTGTTATAAATAAAATAAAATTTTAGTAACATCTTACTCTATGTATGGTAAGACCTCGTCATTGTTGAATAATACATAACGGTGAGCAATGGCTAATAGATCAGCACGATAGGTTTTTGAAATTCCTTTAGATATATGGCGTCCTCCTTCCATACCCTCACATTCAATATCTTCGTTCCGAGATTGATGAACACCTATTTCAGCTAGTTTATTCATATGCTCACTACAAAATCAAACGCACTCTTCGACCAAATACTTTTCTACTATGCACCCTTCTGGTCTTGCTCGATTCCTAACATATCCTTTATAAACCTTCATATTCCTGAATACAATGAGAGAAACTTATATATATATAAAATAATAATTCCAAGTACATATTAAAAAAAAGTTATAAATAATATTACCTCTCAAATGGGTACATCCAACGAAATTGTACTGGTCCACAAAAAATAGCTTCTCGTGCAAGATGAATGGTAACGTGTACCATCATGTCGAAGAAAGACGGTGGAAAAAACCTTTCAAACATGCATAAAGTTTCCACAATTTCATTTTCAAGTTTTTCCAATTGTTTCCTAACAATCACCCTTTGGCATATTGTATTAAAAAAGGAGCATAAGCGAAATATGGCATTCCTTGGACCTTTTGGTAGTGATCCACGCAAAGCTACTGGCAATAATTGTTGCATAAGAACATGACAATCATGAGATTTTAGGCCAGTAATTTTACATTCATCCAATGCTACTCGTTGCCCAATATTTGAACTATAACCATCAGGTAATTTCAACTGTTTTAACCTTTTACAAAATTTGACCTTCTCTTCCTTCATTAATATATGGATTGCTGGTGGCAAGTGATATTTATTCCCTTTCTCCTTTGGGTGCAAATCGCACCTGATGCCCATTTCTACCAAATCCATACGAGCTTTAAGTTCATCCTTTGATTTTCCCTTTATATTTAATAAAGTGCCGAGAATACTCTCACAAACATTTTTTTCAATGTGCATTACATCCAAATTGTGACGGATAGGTAATACCTAATATTAACAGCAAAAAATAATTATTAGCAAGGAGTGTGAATTCCTAAAAGAAATATTAATGGCCAAAGAAATTAAAGGTAATAATGAATTCAAATCTGGTACCTCCCAATATGGCAACTCAAAAAATATAGATTTTTTCTTCCATGGCCAAAATGGGTCTTTTCCTTCTTGGGATTTCTCCTTCTCTTGGGGAGGTTTTCTTTGGGACCTCTTCCGCTTATTGGAAGATTTTTCTTGGGATTTAGGACTCTTTCCCCAATTATTTTTAAAATTCTTTACACGATAAAAAATTTCTGAACCAGATAATATTCTAGGTGGCAGCTTGAATTCTTCTTTTCCATTAAACCATGCTCTCTTCTTTCTAAATGGATAATTGTATGGAAGAAATCGCCTGTAATCCCTGTACACAGTCTTCTGACTACATGGCAACTGCTGAGAAGATGTGTCATTAGCACACACTAGACAACCACACTTACCCTTTGTTGCTTGGCCAGCAAGATTTGAATAAGCTGGTAAATCATTAATTGTCCACATCAAAACCACTTTCAAATTAAACATGGATTTAGTTAATGAGTCATAGATCTCAACACCTTTTTCCCACAACTCCTTTAAATCTTCAATGAGTGGCTCTAAAAACACATCAATGTCATTCCCTGGTTGCTTTGGTCCTGAGATCAACAATGTCAACATCATATTCTCTTTAGACATGCATTGTAAAGGGTCAAAATTGTATACAACTAAATTCACTAGCTAACAACTATGTTTACTGCTAAGGTCACCGAATGGATTAAACCCATCGGCTGCCAGCCCAAGTCTCAAATTTCGAGGATCTGATGCAAAACACGGCCACTTTTTATTTATCATATCCCATGCAAGTGAATCAACTGGATGTCGCATCTTCTTATCTTCACTTTTGTGAGTCGAATGCCACAATATTTGCTCCGCCTTTTCTTTTGATCGAAAAAACCGCCTAAATCTTGGTACTATTGGAAAGTACCACAACACTTTAGCCGGAACCCCTTCTCTAACCACCTTAGATTGCGCATTTGTTTTCCACCGTGAAGTACCACATTTAGGGCATGCATTCAGATCCTTGTTTTCTTTTCTAAACAAGCAGCAATCATTGGCGCACGCATGTATTTTTTCGTACCCTAAATCAAATTTCTTCAATAGCTTATTTGTTTCATAAATTCCCTTAGGAAGACTGTTATCCGATGGAATCATGACACGAATAATGTCAAGAAGCTCATCATATCCTGTGTCGGATAGGTTATGAGCAGTTTTATGCTTATATAAAGTAACTATTGCCGACATAATTGTAAAAGTCGAGCAACCATGATATAATGGAGTTTCAGCGTATTCCAACGCCTGTTTGAACTCATCCTCTCTATTTCCACTGGTGGGCTCTGTATGAGCATTGTCTTCACCATCAAAATTATATGCATCTCTAAACATCTCATACGTCTCAGGTATTTCCACACCATCATCACCATCATTTTCTAAAGTTGCACTCTGATTCTCTCCATGTAAGACCCATACAGTGTACTCAGAATTCATTCCTTTTATCACAATGTGCTCATACACCTTATCGAAGCGTTGATATATTGAATTTTTACAACGGATACAAGGGCATAAAATGCTTTCTCGATTCCCCGCATTAAGTTTAGCCCAATTAACAAAACGTTGTGCTCCAGCTTTATACTCATCTGAAGCTCTACAGTTGAAAATTAATAAAAATATTTTTTATTATCACAAAAATGACAAGAACAATGTCTATGAGTAAGGTTATTTAAAGTTATAATAACCTGTCATTAAGGTGCATCCAGCATTTATCCATTGATTATCCTGAGTAGCACCATATTAGTTGACATTAGCGTTAGCATAATTAATGTGACATTAGCATAATTATTAAACCTCTCATTTCTTGATCAATATTTTTCCAATTTCCTGGATCATTAATGTAAAAAGAAGATTATCATTCTCATTCAGATATTCTTCATTTATCAAATCTTCAAGTTCATTCACATTTTCTTCATTTTGATTCTCATTCCTATCTTCATTCATTAAATCTACATGTTCATTAAGATTTTCTTCATTCCTATGTTCTTCATTCACCAAAAGATTATCATTCTCATTCATATATTCTCCATGTTCACTCGGGCTACACATATAGATGGATAAAAAGAAGACGAAGAAAAGAAAAGAAAAGAAGTTTAATATAAGAAAATTACAAGTTATTGCAAACTTGTGCTTGTTAGAAACAACTTGTTGCTAGTGTCGTGACATAATCATAAACTATCCAGAATTGACAATGAGGCCAATTTTACTGATCAAAATTTTAATAAAGAAAAAGAGAAAAAAGAAATGAGGTCAATATTACACGCTTAAACTCTCAAAGAATATAAGAATGCACACAGAATTAATGTACTATAAAAAAATACTAAATACATCATACATATTCATTTCCATAATTTATTCTCTCGTGGTAGATAATCAAAAGGATGCCATGACAGAGGTCACATGGTCTACGGACATCAGGAAAACAAAACAATAAATAAATAAATAAAAATAAAACATTTTTATAATTTCATCTAAGTCTCATTGTGGTGTACTAACACTCGTGATACTTAATACTTCTATATCCATACATTTTTAAGTGATCAACATAGCTAAACTTTGACAGGTTGTGCGATGCTGTTTTAGACTCTCTGTAACTGGCATTGGGGCCACCAAGTGATAATTGTTTAGATAAAGATTTAGTTGTGTCCTCCTTTCAAGTTAGATAGTATTTCAAGAAACCTTTTGCATGTTGAGCTGCAAAGAGTTTATGCGTATTATATACTATTTTGCAGATCAAGAAGCAATTTCATCGTGCCGAAATTGTTCCTATATGTAGGGTGGATGCGAGAGGTTTGGTTATTGAGGTAGGTTGCTACATCTGGTTATGATGAACAGGAATGGTATATTGTATTTGTGTCTAAAGCTCAACCCCACAATGATCAGGCCCCCAAGCTGGCCAAAAAAGTATATGCAAAACTTGAAGTTGATTTCAGTTCAAAGAAGAAGGAAAGGTAAGCCTACTGCTGCCAATTATATGGCTTCTTTTGTTTTTCTTAATTATAGATTGAGTTTAATTTTTGAATAATCTAGTTCACGTATCATATATCCACTAGATACTCTTCCTTTCAGAACAATTATCTTTTTCTTTTTCCCTTGTGAAATTCAGAATAGCTATCTTCATTAAGATCTGAGTGTCATCATTTAAATTTTGTAAGAGAAAAATAGGAAATTGTAAGTGTCACTAAGTTACGTAAAGGATTATTTTAAAAGGTAATCAATTTTCAAAAACTTGATTTTCATCACTTCATGGTTATTGTCCTTTCAATCATCATCATCATCATCATAATCATCTTTATCTTATTCTTCTTTTCCTTTCCGGTGTAATTACCCCTTTCTATTGCATTGCATTTCTGCTAGTTCCCTCGTTCTGCCTAGATTCCTTTCAAATTGAAATGGCTCTTTGGCCTGGATTTGAATCTCAACAGTGTTGTGTTTGAGTCATCTAAAACATTTTGGCCCACGATTGGTACAAAAAGCATCATATTTTAACTAACATAATTTCATAAGGTTGAGGTCAAGGGTGATTTTAAAAGATTTTAATAAACTGAAGGGAAATATAAAAGGAGTACTTACAAAAGCCCCTTGTTCTCCCTGATGGTCTAAATTTTATTTATATATATATATTCACTCAGGTGCTGCAAATTTGATATACATGGACCCGAAGCAAATTTCTGGGATAACTTGGAATCCAAAATAGTGGAATGCATCAGGAACATACTTGACAGGCGTATTCAGTTTTATGAGGATGAGATTCGCAAGCTCAGTGAACAGCGTTTCATGCTCATTTGGAACTTTTGTAACTTTTTCATTCTAAAGGTAGTTGCAGGGGTAAAACTATCTTTATAGTGACTAAGAGATTGTTATGTACGGGCGCTTGGCTGTAAGGAGATATCTTACTTCAGTATTGTGGATTTTTTTTTTTTTTTTTTTTTTTTCAAAAATTCGTATTGTGGATTTTCATGATCCTTGCTCATGTAAACTTAGTTGAATTATATAGCACATCTGGAGAAGTTTTCAATAGAAAAGAAAGAATATGCCTCCCATTGAACATAGGTGGTGGCCGGCAAACTAACATTAACTCGTGTCCTCTCAGCCATGTGTTCATAATTACATAACATTCTTATTCAGAGTATTTTCTTTCTAGAATATTCCGAGTTATCTAGTGTTTTTTTCTCTATTTATAGTAAAGCTTGGCTTTCATATTTAAGATGGCTCATCTTCATGAAGATTCATTACGTGAATATGACGAATTGGAACTCTGCTATTTGGAAATAGGTGCTTAATGTTTATGTTTCATCTCTTTCTGCCGTCAATGTTTATTATTGTTATTCTAATTATGTTTCCAATTCCAGTTGCTTCTGAAATGTAATAGATATCATTTACCTGTCAACTATTAATGGTGTCTCTAGAAATTTGATTGGTCTTAGCCTGTTTGTCTTTTATGCATATGACTTATGGTAGTTCTCTTAAGGGGAAGAAAATCCTTAATGACTAAATATGAAGATAAGAACATGTTCATTTCTCTGTCATTTGAAAAGAATGATAGAAGCTTTGGAAAGTAATTATGTGGGAAAAGGTTCATCTCAACAAATTAAGGACAATAACAATGTCGGGACACATTTGCTAAACAAAAAGACAGAGATAGGTGATTGGCCCAGAACTAAGAGATGCATTGTAAACTAGAATGACAAAAACCAAACCCTCTCTTTAGATTTATTGTACAACTGAAGAAAGAGCAGAGATTCACTAAACCACCAATAAAAACCTTAAAGATTGGCTAATCAAACCAATAAAACCCCAAATTCCAAACCACATTCCCCAAAATCAGAGTCAAGAACGAGAATAGAGGCGATTGGGGAGGCTGAAATTAATGATTTGCCCTAAAAAAATTTATATTGAATAATTGAAGAATGACTTACCAGGGCCTTCAGCTTGTTTAAGACTCAAATTCAACCCAAATTTACCAATTAGTCTTTCAAATCCTGCAAAGGGAGATCCTGTTTCACCAAATAGGATTTAGTTTGCAAAACAAGAATTACAGACCTTATTAATTGATTTAGAAAAAAAATAATAAAACAAAACCCATACACACAAGTTCGTAGCTGCAGAGAGATGGCTTGAGAGTTGAGAGACACCGGGACAGAGCCTGAAGCTTGCGAAAGGCGAACCCAATCGAATTGGAACAGCGGGATTTGGAAACTGAAGGATATGGGTTTTGATTTTGAACAATAATATATGATATGTCGATATGGGTTCTGATTTTTGTAGATTTTGTAGTTTACACTTGCAGAGACAGAGAGAGGGTAACTTCAGAACAGAGAACGAGAATAGAGATGGAGGCGATTTGGGATGCTAAAGTGAGGAGAACGAGAATAGAGATGAGGCGATTTGGGATGCTGAAGTGAGGAGAACGAGAATAGCGATGGAGGCGATTTGGGATGCTGAAGTGAGGAGAACGAGAATAGCGATGGAGGCAATTTGGGAGTGAGGAGAACGAGAATAGAGATGGAGGCGATTTGGGATGCTGATCGAAGTGAGGAGAAGATGAGGCGATTTGGAATGCTGATCGAAGTGAGGAGAAGCTGAAATGATTTGCCCTAAACTATGTGGTATGTGTACGTGCGAGGCTATATATATTTATGTATATAAAAAAAAAAAGATTAATTTTTTCTTTAAGAAACTAGCAGGAATAAAACCCGCCTTCTATATTCAATTTCTACCACGGTGCTCCACCGTGGTAGATTGAATTACTACCACGGTTTTCCATTAACCGTGGTAGAAAAAGCAGCACAAAGGGCGCAACCTTATCCCGCTAAAATTTAGTGAAATAACCTCACTTTCTACCACGGTTAATGAAAAACCGTGGTGAAATAAATTAACTTTCTACCACGGTGCTTTTATAACCGTGGTAAAAAATATAATTACTACCACGGTTTTAAAATAACCGTGGTAGAATAAACTTTCTACCACGGTTTTGAAATAACCGTGGTAAAATATAAATTTTCTACCACGGTTATAAAATAACCGTGGTAGAAAATTTATATTTTACCACGGTTATTTCAAAACCGTGGTAGAAAGGGTGTGGTAAAAAACTGTTTTTCTTGTAGTGATTGTTATGCAAGTTCAATATTATTTTTATAAATGTTTACTTTTATTTGATACTATAATATTGAACTATATAGTTGAATTACTTAGTGTGCATTGTAATTCAATTTTACAACATAGTTTATTTAATATGTAATATTATTGAAATTGTATGAATTCATGACTGGTTTTGTATGTAATACAACAAAAAGAAATTGACTAGTCCAACTATGTCAATTCTCCCGATAGTCAAGGGAAAAAGATCTATACTAGTGTTTCAGACACGTATAGTTGTTAATGGGTTGAATAAGAAAAGATTTTCCAATAACTCTAAAGAGCTTAATGGAAAATGT